GTGAAAACAAAACAAACTTCACAAAAATAATTTAGAGAGAAGATGGAACGATTATAGAAATGCTCAACAACCAATCTGTCAATATGCATTCCAAAGACCAGTAAGTATAGAAATAGGACATACATTCACCATTAAGCAAAGAAGCTGAAATATTCCCGGCAACTAATGATGAAGAAAAAACCACCTCGTGATGCTTACAACACGAAAACTAAGATTGCCTTGTTAGATATCACACCAACAACGTCTTCTGACGATTGTGGTTTTTAATCTATAAAACTTCCCGATTTCCCACCACGCTTATGACGGCGGTATATTTAAATTTTTATACAGACGATCCTCTAGTTAGAAACCTCCGTCGACCACTAAGACAATAAATCGAATAATACTTAAGGTTGAGAACGAGAACAACAATTAGGCTTAAACAACTTCAAATTTGTCGGTAATTAGCCTAGTTTCTGTAGAATACTGAACAGTTTCTTGTGAATCCATGAGTTCTACGGACTCAACCTGAAATGACAGCAACTAGTCAAGAACGAAGTGACTGTTACCTTGACTGATAATTATTATCTAAACCGCATTATGGACTAGTCCAGAATAAACGAATGATCAAATTACCGCAATATTGCAGTACAAGTCTGGACTCGTAAATCTTAAATTCACTGGGAAGAAATGGTCAGACTGTCCGTTGGGAGTGCTAAACTCTAAAGTACCCGTCTTATTTGACTCGTCAATAACAGCAAGACTCCAAACTAATTGAGACTTTGACTTCACATATTCATAAGACCCTTCGCATTCCGAAACTACAGGAATCGTAGCAGGCCTGAAACAGCTTGTTCCGTAATAAATATCAATTTCCTAATCTGTCTATTCAATGATCACCTCATCTAAAGTACGTTAAAATGTTTTCTTGCAGTAAAACTTACGGCAGTGGTATGACTATCGTCACATTATTTAAAGTCATATCCTCTGCTTGCAATGTATATTCTATGTTAACAACACAACCATCTGGATTTTCATTCGGCCAGCAATTCACTGAAAAGTCTTCATTATCCAAGAAAAGAAAATCGGTCATACTACAAAACAACAAAAACCCTCACACGTAATTGGCAAATCTTCTTCGTTGCTGACCAAGAGCCTCCACTTCAGAACGCCAACATCTTGGTTCACTGGGAATGGCTTCTGGGCAGACTTCAATTTCAGTAACTGTTTTTGTTGCCATTCTTTCTTATCCAGATTAGGATGAACCTAAAATTGCGAAACAAGCATTTAGATCTAGTCGTAGACAGAGTCAAATAGAAGGTTAAAAAACTGTACTTGAAGCTGCGCGCCACGCTTATCATTGTTAGCCATTTGTACCATGACTGTTGAGAACTGCTTTTCGGCAATTGAAAGAGCAACATTACCTAACACCTGCAATTAAAATCGGTTGAAATAAAATTACTGGAATAAGGAAACCGTAAACCAAAACTTGACCTGAAGCCAAAAAAAGCCATAAAAATACTGACTTCACAACTTTCTAAGCCGCCATCACGAGAAATAACTGCTGATATTTTTTCTTCTGCCTTAACATGAACCGGAAGAACTGGGACAGCAGGGTTCACAGCTGCTGAACGATCCACAGCTTCCACATTTCCAGATGAACGTTCAATCGGTTCTACTATTTGACCTGGAAAATATTTGAAATGTTAATCTATAACTAACTAACATACCACTGAGTGGCTTCTTCTGGTTTTTTTGACAAGTTATGCAGCTACAAAAAATTTGACTGAGACAGTCCCAAATAACAATTTTAACAGGACAGTGAGAGTCAGAACTATAACAGAGGAACAATGAGACCCCTGAGCCCAAAAAAGTTTGAAGGTACCTTCACTCTTTAACTGCATGAAAAACTGATCATCATCCTTTGCTTTCCCTAGTCTCAAGGCCTTCCCACCAGAGCGAGCTGGAGACGGAGCAATCGGTTTTGATGCTGTATAACTTGGAGTTTCTTCGACAACGGTGGCAGTTGGTGGCAAGGAGGCAGAGCCAAACCCGGTTGCGCTGATGCTACCCACTGGAAGACCTGCAAAGGTGATTTAGTTGTAGACTCTTCAGCCTATTAATTATCGAATAAAAAATAAACTCCAGCACAGAAGCACCTCGGGCATTCTTTCTTTGTTCTGCCTTTTGCTTTTTCAGCTCATTAGCTTTCTGATGCATCATTTCAGTAGCTGCTCTTTCTTGCGCCTAAACATAGTATTTTTAATTGAAGAATGCTCCCTCTCAATCAAATTTATGGACTTCAAGATTAACAAAAACTTACTATCTTGATCTGATTGAACACGCGTTCTTCGTGAGAATCCATATCAGTAAAAGTTCGAATTTGGGCCAAATTTACATTCTCACGGTATCCAAGAGCAACAATTTCATCAAATGCAAAAATAAGCTCAAACAAACTTGCTTGGATTTCCTTTTCATCGTTTGATCGACAGTATTCAGGAATCTGCAAAATGCCTTCCTTTAACACCCCGTTTCCCTTGGAAAACCGCATATACATAGATACTATATGAAAAACCAACACCAAGACGGAAAAGTAAACTACCAACACTTCTGCAAAGTCTGAAATCGCAGTTGTCAAGAAAAATTGCAACTTACAACTCTTGAGAAAAGTCGTAGCGTCTCTAGATCCTCTAGAATGTTTGAAGCCTTCGTGGTTATTAAAACCATATAAATATTATCCAAAGGATGGAACACGTACCGTACACTATCCGTTTCCACAAATGTATGCTGCCGTTGAGCTGATAAAGAAGTGTAAACTAAGACTTTTACTGTCAAAAAAAAGAAAAAACAGCCAAATTAGTTTTTATTTCTAATTCTTAAATCTTGAATAAACTTCAATGCAATTAACCAGATTAAGGTTTGACAGTTGACTAGACTAAGTGTTAAATACATGAAATTTAAAAAAAAAAAGTACATAAGTTTTAAAAAAATTTACATTTATCTGACGCAATGAGTTTCGGAAATGCGTCAAGAAGTCCTTCCAGACGGGCTTTTGTCATGTCCGAAATAAAAACCCGCGCCAACAAAGCTAAACAACATTTTATTTAGTAAGATGCAAAATGTTTTCATATTAGGCATTCTAAACTGCACTTAAAAAAATTAAACGTCAAAGTTAAACTGACGTTTTCCACTTTTTGTAATTATCGACGCACCTATTAGAACCATTGCTACCTGAAATGTTACAGTACAAGCATAAACAACTGTACAATTTTCAAAATCATTTAAACAACATTTTTGATTCACTGTTTAAACACGAAATAAAAAATGATTACACTAACTGGAAAATGAAAAAAATCAAGGTTGAAGACAAAAGAATTATTTTAAACATTTAGATGTAAAAGTCATTCAGTCGACACGTTGAAATAATCAAATATAATCTTTAACAAGACCTATCCATAACCAAATATTGACTTCAACAATGCACATTTAAACCCCTAACAGTAAGTCTAGCAGTAAAGTTGGATGACTAATATATCTACCGATCTTCACTTGGAGTTAACGCTTGAAAATCTCATAAAAGATCTGACAGATATGGCAACAAATTCAACGAACTTCCATGCCACGCAGTTCCAATTTGACATTATTGGCATAATTTCAGCCGCTTACTGTATTCAACATTTTTCGTTTCAAAATTTGAAACTTTTAAAATTCTTCTCCCACCGCTGATAATTTGCCGCGAGCAAAACGTTTATAGTTTATCTTTCGTAATTATTGTTGATACACATTTAATATATATGTTATTTGAGCACACTGCTGTATACTGGTCTACCTGGATAAGTACACTCTCCTTTAAAGCCTAATTAAAATAATGTTCCAATATTTTACTTAGATTTTTTTCCTTTTTGTTTTTAGATGTATCTCACCCGTAATTTGTTGTAGTATTTCCAATGTAACACACTTTCATCCTTTCAGTTTAAATGAGCTTTGGATTTATTACTGCATCAGGGAAAAATGTGAAAGTTAGTGAAGAGGCGTTGAAAAAAGCTAAAGACATTTTTGGAAATTTAGACGGCGACGATGAATTGGTTGAAAACTCAAGTAAGCTCGATTCATCGAAAAGGTAAATTTGATGACGTTTCTTTATACTTTAAAACTTTTTCAAGTAGGGATGACTTCTGTTTTTTTCATGCAGTGACCGATTCCTTGGAGAGGTTCATTTTCGGCTGACTAATTTCCTCTTTGGTCTTGCTCTTCATAAAAGTATTTAGTGGTGATGCAACACCGGTACGCCCATCAGCGAAACGGTTCTGCTTAAGTCGAAACAAGTTCAAACCTCCTGCCTTCGTTAGCCCCATGCCTAGTGGCAGTATGTTTCAATTGTTCAGTCAAAATTTCTTTCAATTTATGCTTCGTAAGCTAAAAAATCTTTCCTCTACGATCTGTTTGTTGTATGAATCGTCATCTAAAACAATTTGAAATGGTATATTTCAGATGAACCATCGACAAGCAGCACCTATCGAAAATTACCACCTCTCTCAGTCCCACCGTTGAGAGAAAACTCTGCTTTGAACACACCAAAAACTCCAGTAAGGACATCGACCCCGGGTTAGATTCCATTAACCCACTGCAATGCCTCAATATATTTATAGCAACAGCAAGTGTTTTTTATTCAGAAGAATATTTTTCTAGAAGACAAGTTTTTCAAAAATTTTCATATGGTTTTCTAAGAAAATTTTTCAGAAAATTTAGTTTCTGGCAGAAGTTACTCGAAGGGTTTGACTCCTATAAAACTTCTAACTCCGTACTGCAGAAATTGGAGGCTCTGTGTTAAAGTGACTGAAATTGAAGGGGTAGATTTTTCTCGCATTACGTGCATTCCAGTTTTCAATAAGAATTTAAGAGTCTTGTTCAAGGTTTTGTTCATGTACACTTTTTACGCAGATTCGGCGTTTCCGTGGGATGGAAGTGTTTTCGTTTTTAGCTGCTGATGAAGGAGGTGTTGAAGTTCGCGTTACAGCATTTAACGATTTGGCCAGCAAAACTGCTGCATTGATAACTGCCGGAGAGGTAATTTCACTGTGCGCACCAAACCTTGCTTTTTTGAAAGTTCTGAAAAATCGGTCAGTCACTGATCTATATTGTTACGAAGCATGCTGTCTTGGAAATGTTGCAACCATTAACCTTCAGTTTAGTTTAGATGTATTATATAACTAAGGCTTCTGTGAAGCCAATAAATAAAAGATTTGGGAGGAACAATATCGATACAGAAATAGTTGTCAGACCTGATACCGAAGTAACTTTTTAGCACTAGCTGCTTGTTTTTATCTAGAATATTCCTTGTTGCTTCTATTATTAACTCATCCAGTTTTTTGAAATACAGCAAAATGCCCTTTTATTTCTATTATTTTGTGTTGCATTTTGTAGATCACTGTTTGCACTGACCAGCCTCTGATAGCCTCTCCAAGAGTTTGTTTCCTGTTTGTGAAGATAAAAAACATTGCAAAATATTTAGACGCAGAAATTGGTAGGTTTTATTTCTTCTGTAACTTGAATCTTTTTCGAATCAGTTGTTCATTAAATAGTAAGGGCTGCAGTTTTTTCTATTCCGATTTTGTAATTGATTACGGTTAAAGACCTTATTGGTGTTATCCGCGAAGTGGGTGAGATTCGACAAGTATCAAGCAAGATTGGGGACTTATTAAGGAGAGATTTGGAAGTTGTAGATGACACTGGTTATAGCATTAATTTGTTGCTTTGGGGTGATCGGACGAATAAATTTGAGAAGTCCGCTACTCGAGTGATAGCTGTCAAAAAGGCGTACGTGCGAGATTATCAAGGTTAAGGAACAATTGCGTTTACTGTTGTCTAAGTTTTTGAAGCACTCCGTTTTACACTGCTATTCATTCATTCTTTTAAAAGCCAGTTTGTGGAACAGTTCCTTTCAGGCACAATTATGGTTACTACCGTGACTTTTAGTAAAATTGTTATTGATCCGGATTTGATCGAAACTCGCTCCCTTAGTTCTTGGTATACGGCTAATAAAGAGATGCAGTTTACACCCGTTTCAACCAGATGCTTCGAAACTTGTTAGATCCTAATTGAGCTTTTTTACTCCATCGCTTACTTTGTTCTCCTCTTAGTTTCATGTTCATTTAGTTGAGGATCATCACTGGATACGGGAAGTCAGACAGTCCAACGGCTTGCAGTACTTTAGCATTGTTGCCTTGGTCACTAATATCAATTTGGATAGTGCTGTTTACAAGGTTCTATAATTTTTGCTCAAAAATTCTGTATTCGTTAACACCAATGATGACCTCTTTACTAGCATCATTGCGAGCTTGCTTTTTCGCAGCAGCCTCCTCAATACGTAACATTGGCATTCCACTCTCAACAGCTTTCGCCATGCCGCCCAATGAATCAATTTGTTTATGATTCATTCATGAGAATTATGAAATGAGTGTAAAGAAACTCAAATTAATAATCGCAAAAGTGATAATAACTTTAAAAAAAAAAAGAAAGATAATTTCTTTTCTAACTACTTACCTTTTGAGCTTTCTCATATATTTCGTCATTCAGAGATTCCATCATATGTGCTCCAGCTGATGGATCGTATATAATGGAATTGTTTTTTTTAGGAAGGGAACAATAACACTAGTGTTCACACTAGCTGAATAAGTTTAAAACATTAACATGCTTCTTTTTTATTTTTTAGGGGTGTGAAAAATGCCGAAAAAAACTCCTTGAGCATGATGGCGAATTAAGGTGCGCTAGGTGTAATGTAACCTCCAACGACTATCAGTTTTTTTATTCCATCAATGTTAGTAGACACGTACTTATTAAGTTTAATAATGGCTCTTACTGATCTACTCAAAAAATTCTTCGTTTTGCAAACGAACTCTCTGACGCCTAAATTAATGTCTTCTTCTTGTCCTTTCAGGCATTACATATTTTCAACTAAGATTTTTTTTTCCAGCTTGAAGTCTGTGATTTTACGGGTTCAAGATACATAAGTATTTTCGATAAGTGTGCGGAAAAACTAATTGAAGAGCCGGCAAACGAAGTGGCGAAATATATGAAATATGACTATGACAAGTATTCCCTATATTTCAAAAGACTGTTGTTCAGGAAATATATTTTTCGTATATCAACTCGTTCGCCAGAAGTTCCTTCGACGACACCGGTGGTAATTAACAAAGATCGTCAAAGGAGGAATGAAGATCGGTGGCTGGTAGTTGATTTTGCTAAACTTCCATATAACCTTTATATAACATATTTGAACAAGTGTCTAAATACGCACACTGCCACCCAAGAGTAATCCCTATTTTCCCTGTACAAATGCAGTTTGTGATAATCTGCGTTGCTTAAATGACTTAGATGACTTAGTTCAATATTTTAGGTAACTTTACGCAAGCATCATGTAAATCAATATAGGCTGTACAGCTTAATGAGGATAATTTCACTTGTTGTTTAACTTCGTTATTATAAAAGAAACAAGTTTTAATAGCAAATTTCGTTGGCCCACAACATTTAACACTACAATAAGGAGTCTGCAGAGTAAGCTGTCCTGGTATCTGGTGATTTTTTTCACCTTTACTGTTTCAGCGTTCTGTAACTCAAATTCTTATAATCTTTATTCTTTCAAACATCGTTCACAGTCAAGCAGGATTAGATTAGCAAAACAGCAGTTAATCACATTTCAACAACCCGATTGCAGCACCAAGTCGAAGTGTAATAAGAGAATGTATTTAACAAAGTAGATGGTATTTAGGGATGAACCCGATGGTGTAAAATAAAAAACAACTTCGAAAATAAAAGATTAAATAACTGACCGCTCCAAAAAATTTTTTCAATAGTGCTTAAGAAGCGATGAAATACTTTTCCTTGTACATCACTACCTTTGCCTTAAGGGAAAATAGAGTGAAATACTTAACAATGCATCTGGCTTTATACAGAAACTTTAACAAAATCCCAGTCACTACTCTCCGAACAAACTCTGGTTTCAGCAATGCCCGAGAGATTATTTTCTGCGTAAACACACATTCCTGATGCAGCATTGAACAATTTCATGTTGTTCTGGAAGTGGAAATTTTGAGTAATCAACAGCGGTAACAAAGTGTAAAGTGCACTAGTTGTTGGTTGGAAGGACTTGTCAGATCATCCTTCCGCTCTTTTTTAAAACCAGAAACAGCTTAGTTTTTAGCTTTGTGAAATCTAATGGATAAGCAACTGATAAGGCAATTAGATGACTCATAAAGATTTCGTTATTGTGGGAAGAATTAACCTTGAAAGTCCAACGTTGGTGTGACCCCTGCGCATGGCATTTTAGCAGCCTTGGTCCCTGAAGTTCAACTGATAAAAATCTGAAGTAATGCAGCTGGCTAAACTTTATTTTTTGCAGTCCCGAGTAGCAAAGCTCTGTGTAATTTCCAACTTCGAAATTGCGAGCCACTAAGAAAAAATAGCTACAACTGTCGTTGACCAGAAAGGGTTATTATTACGCACCTTTAATGAGTCTAAGCACAGTTTGCTTGACCCCATCGGACGAAGTTCCCCAATCTCTGTATACCTCCACAACTGATTCCTCTCATCCGGCTGACATCTCTCCATTATAATGTTGGCACCCATCCTTAGCCTTCCACTTACTACTTCATCGCCTGTTAGACAGAGATTCGTGCCATGCAAAACTATCTAAACAACAATTTTTCCCTTGTTTTTTCTTTTCTGCTTAACACCTAAGAAGAAAGAAATATTAAATACAAACGTAAAAATCACTGCGCACTGCCGAAGAAAAAAGTCATTAGTTAAATACAAAACTCACATGGTATTTGTCACTTTTGAACGTGTTATTATTTGTAAACTTCGACGCTTTTACTTCATTTGCTTTCGTTTTGTCTGAAAGCAAATTCGGATAAACATTCTTTAAATACCAATCAAACGATTTGCACTGAAGACGAGATCGTAGTTGTTTCCTTGCTGATATATCCCCAAAATCCAATCCTTTCAGATAAGGAGCTGCCTCATAGAATTTATACTGAAATTACGATAGTACTGCAACTTCACTCAGCCTACAAAAAAACTTCTCAAATTTAACCTTACAAGATATTCGTCCAGCCAAACATTGGCTGCACGAGCAGCGTTACGACCAAGTGAATCAACTCCCAGACCATATGGGCGTCTTTTCCGGAAGATATGGCCAACACGACTGCAAGGAATAATTTCCAAACGTCCACCACACATCCATATCTAAATTTTGGTTCACTATCAGTTCGCAGACAAACTATATTTGAGACCGATCAACAGTTAATTCTTTTGATCTTAGAATACGTTTCGGATGCAAAAATTTTTTTGATTCACAATGAGTTGTAAAACCAAAATCATTGGAAAAAAAGAATAAAAAACTTTAGAAGAAATGTTGAACTAACTCGCATTGAAATTTCTACATTTTCAGCCCCCCAAATGTCCATTCCATCATCATACTGTCCAAGTTCATTGAAATAGTTCCTATCAATTGCAAAAAGACCTCCTGCCATTGTTGCAGATTTCAAAGGTCGTACATTGTTTCTAACATCGTTAAAGTACCCGTGCGATGGATAAACCCACTTGAAAACAAGAGACCATGACATACCACCACTGCATACTGGTGATTTTAGATATTTCATCGTTTCAGCATCAATGATATCTATTACAGGACACACCACGCTGTAAAATAAAAAACATTTTCAAGAAATACATCACATATTAAAATCAAACTTTTTCGAGGAACTTCATAACATCATCTTAACAAAATTAACGCTCCCAATAGGTATCACATAAAAAAATCATTCTAATCAAAAATATTTTTCCGTGATATTTCCCTTTTATAATAGAAACGATGACCACTCGAACCAGAAATAAATCAAAAAGTAGAATGAGTTGAAGTCAACGGTGAAAAAGAAAATGTACTTATGGGGATCAGTTTTTATACGATCCAATAATGGCTCAATCCACTGTTCGTTAGCTTCAATATGACTATCAAGGAAGATTAGCACTGGTCCACTAGCGTGACTTGCACCAAACATTTTTGCCCGTATAAGCCCTTCGTTTTTTTCTGTACGGAGTAACTTTACCACATCCTGTGACCAATTTTCCGCAGCATATTCGTGAAGTTTTTTGTCCATATCATTCTCTGCAATAAATTTACTGCTTTTTTTACATTTAAAAAAGATAGCAGTCTTTAATGAGGTATCTTTAGAAAAATAAGATTCACTCATCTATCTACTAACAGATTAATTATTTAGAAGCAACAAAATATCACCAAGATTACTGCTATCATCGATTAAAAGAATTTCGTGAATTAGATGTGACGGAGTTCGGTCGATGATGCTGTTAACCGATCGAATAAGTACCGAAGGCGCTTCATTATAGTAGCATATGATGATACTTGCTGCCGGCAGGTCATCTGCATAAGTTTCGTTTCGGCACCTTAGAAACGTTTTAATTAAAATAACTTGTGTAATTGTTTATTCCAGTAATTTTTTCAACGTGAAAGCCTGCAGAAAACAAAAACAATTAAAGAAAAAACCAAAACTCACAGTGCATGTCTACTATCTGGAATCTTTCGTCGTGGACCAATTTTTTGGCTTAGTAAATCATTGAAAACATACTCATCAAACAATCGATTGTGTAATTTCTACAAGTAAAATCTCTTATAAACACTGTCTTGCTAAGTCAATGATTAAAAAAACTGATAAGAAACATGTAAAAATCAAAATCATATAACAACCATTAAAAATATCTAAAAAAACATTCAAAAAATAAGATAAAAACCAGTTTATTTAGCAATTAGCATCAGCAAACATACCTGTTCTTCAACATCTTTAATTACAGAAAGTTCTTCAAGATTTACTTCTGGAATTTCATTTAACGACAATTGTTCCTCTTTCATTTGTACTGGTACTTTATCACCACCGGACGATAATTGTACTTTTGGCTGGTCATCGTTGGATATTGCTAAATTCTGGACAACATTTAATCGATCGCCCCGACTTAGACGAGCCCTATCGGCAGCAACAATAGCCCGTCGATGCGAAAGCCGATTCTGTGCCTCAAATTTTCCCAAGTAGGCAATAAACGATACCACCCAAATAACGATAAGTAGCGCTGCAATTCCAACGCATTGACCACTTCTCCGCAATTTGAACATTAAAAATCCTCTTGGTCTACCGTTTTTTCTTTTTGGTTTTTATTTTTTATTTTTTTTATTTTTTTCAGCTCTTCATCACAAATTGTCAACAGCGATGGATTCTGCAACAAAACATGAAGTAATCCGTAAAAATTCAGTAACACTGATCCGTTGACTAACATAAGATTTGTAATCGACCAAAATAAGAAGAGTCAAAAAAGAAAAAAGTGAAAATACCAAAAGTACATTACTATTTAGTTATATATGCCAATACTAAAATCATCATCAGTATCAAAATCATCATTATTGCCATTACCGCCATCACCGCCATAGACAATAATAACAATAACAATAGTAACAACAACAACAACAACAACAACAACAACAACAACAACGATACCAGCAGAAGGACCAATATTGAAAAAAAAAAGAAAAAAGCACAAGAACACCGAAAAAAAAACTTTTGCTTATTTATAAATAACGAGAGCAAAATTAATAAATAAAAGAAAAAAGGCACCGTTTTTTCACAACAAGTTTAAACTTTACACACTTAATGTCGTTTTCGACTGTAATTTCAACCAGCAACTCTCCCTCTTCCTTTTTTTCAGGCCTACCATCCAACGTTCTTCCCCATATTTTCAACTAAATCGATCCCGTCAAAGTCAAAAATAGACATTTTTTTTTTCCGCAAAACAATATTATTCACCGCTTTTAATGCATCTTAGAAAAGTTTGAACAACTTTACTCTTTGTTATTGCTCTCCATTTTTCTTTCAGTCCATGTTAAAAAAAAGAAGCCAAAATTTTCATTGGGCAAAAAACAGTTCTTTCAAAGTTAAAATTTTATAGATTTAATTGAAAAGAAAGTTGTGAGCAAAAACTATTCTTCTTTAAACACTTATATTAGCTGTTTAACAGAAGTAAAATTGCAGAAGAGAGATAAACAAATTATGGGAAAATAAAAAGCAACATGAAACAGCACTAAAAAGTCATGAATATCAACTGTTTAACAGTGTAGTCGATTAGAACAAAAAAAAAAGAAGCATTTTACACTTAATAAACAAATTTTACAATATTTAACAAATCATTTTTCTAAATCAACAAAACACTATCAATTTGTTCATAAAACTTTTGATTGATTTTTTACCCTCCTTCCTTCCTTCCTTCCTTTCTTTCTTTCTTTTTTCCCCTATTTATCTCTGATATTTTAGCGAAAGGAAAAAAATGATAAGCAATAACACTTCAACTGAATTATCAAAATTTTTTTTTTTTTTTTTCAAACAATCACTGTAAAATTTTTGCTATAAATGATTGTAAAAATGGCAATCAATAACACTTTACAATGAACGGTACAAAATGGTCTACTACTTGTTCTATATCTGTACTCATTTCTACAGCAATATTACAATTTTTGCTCCAAAAACACAACTTTTGATTGTAATTAAAATTAATATCCAAATATATTGAATATATAACAGATATACACCATAAACAGTGCTTAACAACAGATCCAATAAACCAAAAACAGCTGATGGTGGGTAACAAGGACGATGACAGTGAAGATGACAAATGTTCAAAAATACACAGTTCAAAAGAAGAATCAACCAACACTGATCAATACAAATGCAAAACAAAGACGTTAGAGGAGGACACAGCAACTCGACCAGTAATTAGCGCCTTTAATTGGTCAACTAAAGTGGCCGATCAGTTTGACTATCGGTACCGATATTTCTCTTATAGATACACTGCTTATGTACAT